GTGACGCGGAGCGCGAGCCGCAGGACTGCTTGTGTCTGTTGGCTTCAACGAGGCTTGTAATTCCGCAAAAGCCCAGATGCAGGGCGCACGCCCCCGTGGGCTTCGCTCCACTGCTGGCTGTTCGAAGTTCCCTGGCAGGTGATCGCCCGTCCCAAGACGCCCGATCGTGAGCGCAGCCGCCGTGCGGAGCTCGATCAGGCGACAATGCCCCAGCGCGGCCCGCTCCGCGCGCTGCCATCCGCCCCGCGCACCTCCATCATGCGCTGCAGGCGGCCGTCATAGTTGGCGTCGTGGACCCTGTGGCAGCTCAGCCATGCCAGGTCCTCCTGGGGGGGGCGGCCCCCGGGCCACACCGGGGGCGGGGGTTCGCTTGAGGTGGCGCACCAGGGCGGCGAGCACGAAGGGAAAGCACATCGGCGGGGTTTGATACGCCGACCATAACTGTGTAGCCAACTACTACGGCGTCGGCTGGGCACCGCAACTGCAAGAACTGTTGCTGGCTGGCAACGCACACGACGGTGCTGGGGCAACCGAAAACACTTCAAGCGTGAGGTCGGGCAAGGCTGAGGAAAGCGGCCGTGCCTGCTGTTTTGGGCGCCGCCGCCTGTCACTCCATAATACCAGACGCCGAGGACCCGTGCCTTGCCCAGCCAGCTCGCACTCGCCTGGATCCGCTGGTGCTCGTGGAGCAGGTGGTCTGGCGTCTTGTCGCCTGCAGGAGGGCACAGGAAGGTCGCATCGCATGTGGACCAAGTGTGCAGCAGGTGGTGTTCCCATCAATAGCTTTCAGCTTCAGCGAATATTCTTGGGGCCGGAAGCCGGAGGTTTTTGCGCCCCACAAGCACGTTAGCTGCAGCACAGGCACGCGTGCGCCAATCAGGCCCCGTTTCGTTTTCAAGCGGCCGGCATCGGTGCTGCACCGGCGCCCGCCCTGCAAGGCGGCCCTCGACCCTCCCCGCTGACACACGCACACGTCATACCCCCAAATTGCCGCTCCGGCCCGGCCAAGCCCCGCACCCATGTAGTTGCGCATCGAGGGGTAGACCACAGTCTCCTCAGCGGCAAAGTGCATGACGGCCTCCCGAATGATGGAGTAGGCCAGGATCTGGCGGTTTGGGGGTTACCGCGTGGTGTGCGTAATGTGGGCTGGTGTGGCGCGTGAAGCGGGGTGAGGTTGGGAGTGTGTGTGAGAGTAAATGATGTATAGACCTCGTGAAATCTGGCCCCATAGGCGCAGCCTGAAAGGAGAAAAAGAGCCCCCAAAAGCCGACCGGCCCAAAGCTGGCCAGGTGGCTGTGACTGAGCTGGCGGGTGTCACTTGGACCAACTGCCGGCCCCTCGCTCCCCCCAAGTGCAGCCCAACCAAGCAACCCTTGGACCCAGCCGCTTTTTGTCCCATCGACTCAACCCTCAGCCCCTGAAACCCTTTTACACCTGTTTCTGATCGGCGGTGGTGTACGGCATCTGCCGAGGGTGTGACGAGGCGGAGCGAGGTGGCAGTGCGCAGCACAAGCGCTGCACGATTTGCAACCTTCCAGGCAACAATGCCACGCGCTGTAGCAGTGAGTGCTGCCCTGCCAATTCTTGCGAAGGTGGCCATCGCTCTCATAGCAACAAGGCACGTGCGTGGGTGACGACCCCCGCGGCCACGCAGGGCAGGGGGGGGGGGGGTGGTTGTGCAGGGCACGACCGACCAACCGCCCCGAGTGCCCCGTGCCTGGTACTGCTGGTACAGCTCCTTGGCCTGCGATCAGGGTGGCGCGCATACATCAGGAGACTTGTATAGACCCCTTGGGGGTGGCGAAAATGCACAGCGTTGGCGGGGGCGCCCTCGGACCCGGGAAGCCGCCATGCGCCGTTCTTTGGCCTTGACCTGTTTCCACACAGCGTGGGCTTGCCTTGACGTGATCCATTTTTATCAGGCCGATTACGCTCTTGGCAGGCGACATGAGGAACATGGCTGCTGTCCGTGAGGAGTTCCGTTCCCAACCGAAATCTCGAAAGTAGATCTTGGCTGGATGCGGTGCAGCAGCGAGGGATCCAGGTGCTAAAAAGCGTATTGAGAAGCAAGGTCGGGCGGCTTCAACCGATGGACGCCGATACGCGCTGCGCTCGCGGCTTCAAGTAGTGACGTCACGTGCACCGTCGGTGACAGGGCATCACAAAAAGGCGGTATTTGAGCGGGACGCGGGACAATATGCTTGACACCCAAAGTTTTCCCGACACTGAACAGTTTGTTGTTCCCAAGCCCTGCGCAGCAGATCAGAAGCAAGCAACGACAACGCACGCACACCACATGATCTCCCTCACCCCCGCCCGCGTGGCCTCTTCCTTTTCGCGCCCGGCCGTCGCCGCCGCGCTCCCGGCCGCCCGCTGCTCCTTCGGCAAGATGCGTCAGGGTGGCTACATGGTCTCCTCAGACGTGGTGAACAATGCTGCGCGCGGCGGTGCCGGCGCGCCATCTGGCGCGCGCGGCACCGTGACCGCCGCAACCGGTGGCGGGGGCGCTCCTGCCGGCAACATCGTTGACGCCATCACGGACGACCACAAGAGGTGGGCGTCCGAGTATTGCCTGCCCATTGGAAGGGGAGGGTCGCTGGCTGCCGCAGCCGGTTCCTGTGCAGGGCGGTGAGGTGGTGACGTCACATCGAGTGCACTGGACCCTGCAGTCACGCTTTGCTTCCTCTCATTTGTTTTGGGCTGCGGCCAGACTCCGTTCTGTACAGCAATCTTTTAGTGCAACGGGATCCCGTTGCCGTTTGTCGCGTTCGATTGCGCAGCCCGCACCGGCCCCCCTCCTCTGCGCTAATGCACCCTCGCTCCATTCGCTCCGCACGCAACGCCCACCACGCAATCGGCTGCGTTCCCCCGCGTCACCACTCCGCCGGGCAGGCTGTTCTCGTACTGCGACCAGCTGAGGGGCCAGGGGCTGGGCCACGACCAGAGGGAGCACCTGAGGCACCAGCTGGTGCACGACCTCGCGGTGAGGCGGGCTGTCACTTCCGAGTGCACAGAGTATGACTTGGGGTTGATAAATCGATGGCATGAACTCCCTTGCCTACGCAACGGGTGGGGCGTCGTCACAGCCCCGAAATCTCTTCGGTATGTGGGCGCAAACCAGCAGGTGCAAGCAGGAGGTGTGTTGGAGCGACCTGTTTGCTGCTGGCTGCCAACCCCAGGTGCACTCCCTGAGCGAGGAGGAGGTGCTGTACCCCGCCCTGAAGAATGCGTGCGGCAATGAGATGAGGTGGGGTGGGCTCCTTGACAGCTGATGGGGGTCGGAATCATGTTTGGAAATAGTGCGCCAAGCAGACAGATTCAGCTCAATGCAATTTAATCTGCTAGCTGGAGGTTGTTGTTGTCGCGTTTGGTTTTGTGTGAGTCCACTTGAGGTTTTTGTGAGCCCACTTGCTCCACCCAGCAATGCAACGCACCGAAACCCGGTTACCAGGAATCACGTTCTGGATGAGCACACCACCCTCAAGCACATCCTCATGGACATTGACAAGGTGCAGATCAGGCACTATCATGATGGTGGAATGGTTGCCTTGCTTTGCTGCTGAAACACCTGCCCAAAAATGCTGGGGGAGACAGAAAGCTGCTGGGTCTGCGCAACATGACCTGGCACTATGTCACTGCACTCCCAACTATACTCCGTGCTATGCTACGCCTTGCATGGTCAGGAACTTCTCCTGGAACATGTGTCCCCAACCTGCTGAAGCAGCAAATTTTTCTGCCCGCCTCACAACAGAATCTGTTGAGACAGTGGTGTAGTAATCTTTGTAAGCCTTACAAACGCCGCCCCTCCGTCCTTGACCTTGCTCCTTCAATAGATGGATGCTGACGACCCCAACTTCAACCCTCGGCTGGATGAGCTTGTTCACGTGAGCGACTGAGCAAGTCTTTCGACCCGAGTTTTGTTTGATGAGTGCTGATGAGCAAGTGCTGATTAGCAAGCAAGGTGTCGCCACAACAGGCGCGTGCACGTAGGCGTGCTCCCCCGCTATACCTTGAAACCCCCGCCCCTTCCACTCCATCACCCCTACATGTCCGTCCCAGGAGCTGCGCCACCATGTGCAGGAGGAGGAGGAGAAGGTGCTGCCCATGTTTGCCTCCAAGGTATGTTGGCGGGGATGTGGGTGGTGTCTTCACCGCACACTGTCCATTTCATGTTTGGTGTAAGCTGTGAGACTCGAGTCTGTGATAAATTGGCTGGACAACACATGCGGCAAGCAAAGTAGTAGTTGTGTATTTTGCAACCTACCTGCATTGTGCACATGTGTCCTTTAGGTACCAACCTCTGACCTGGAGCATCTGGGCGACAAGTTCGAGAGGACCAAGGGGCAGGTGCCCACACGGTGAGTCATGCGTATCAGGCGGGTATAGGTGGGATAGGCGGGGCATACGTACGCATGCTGATTCTCATACTGTGAATAACGTGCTGCTGACGTTCTTTCCTCACCTGCTGTGCTGCTGCATTGTGGTGAACTGCAGGCCCCACATCCTTGCCCCCAACAAGCCGGCCACCGGCAACGTCGTGGTTGATCGCCTGACGGCTCCCCTCGACAAGCTGAGGGATTCAGCCGGCGGGCGCGAGGTGTGAGCATGTGCTGGCCACGAGACATTTTTGTTTCGACTGCTGCAAGGTCGCAGCTTGCAAGATTGTCATGTATAGTATCGGGTGTGCAATAGTGTACGACCTCTGTCTGTGATGAACCTTGTTGGTAATCTGTTGAATTATGCAGGTTGGACAGTTGCGCAAATGAGAGGTTGATGTGTAAAAGAGAGTTTACTGTCACAGTGTAACTTTCTTCGTAGATTAAACACTATCATACCGACATACGACTACTATAATACAGTATGTCAGCAGTTGAGAAGGTGTACCCTTGAGAGTGTGGGAACCTGGGTTGTATGATACGCTGCCATCATGTCAGTATGCTGGCATGGTGGTCTTCAGACTGGTTTAGCTGGCGTGGGGCGTGTCCCTGAGAGGTATGGTGGGAAAGCGGCGGAGGGGTGGGGATGTGGGGAGGGGGGTAGATTCATAGCTGTTCGTCTGCGCAGGTAGGATTTTGCCAAATATCACATAACCGATAATTTGATGTACAACAATAACTCTAATCAAACACACAATGGTATACCGGTACAAGTCGTCTTGTCAGCAGCACAAGCGCAGCTGTGTGCATTGTGAGGATGGCTGCCTTATCATACCGGCACTTGCAGGCAATACTGGTATCAAGCACACCGCTTGAAGGTGTTGTGCGGTAATATGAGGTCTGTATAACATATGCATTCCAAAGGTAGACAAAGCGGAGGTCGTCGCGGTTGACAAGATGGCTATGCCAGGCTTGATCTGGCTGGCGATCGTGGCAGTGGTAGTAGTCGTGGCAATCAGGTGCGTATCATTATCTCTGTACCAGGGAGCGTATGGTCCAGCGATCCCGGCGCGACACATCTCGGTGGTGTCTTTGCCACGCAGGTCAGCTGTGAACAAGCTCAGAAAGGCACTTGTAAAGGCCCGGGTGGAGTTAACGATCGGCCATGTCGGCCTGGGTGGAGTCTCGCGGCTGGCCGTGGCGACCCAGGTGCGTGCGTTCAGATGGCTCCCTCGCGCCGCGCTAACCAACCCACGGTGTGGGCCATGCCCCGCATCGCCGACCTGCATGCATGCAGCACCAATGCGTTTCTCATCTGCCGCGCAGGGTCTGTTGGCGAGGCTGGAGTGCGACTCTGTCCGGGTGGGCGGCGCCAGCACCGCAGCTGCCGTGGCTGGGGGTGCAGACCCAGGCCGCGAAGGCCCGCCTCCCTGGCTGCCGATTCGGGTCCAGGGGCTCCGGTTAGCCATCGCCGCTCAGGCACCAGGACCCCCGGCCGGCGGCGGCGGCGGCGGCAGCAACAGCAGGCGCACGAGGAAGCGGGTCCTGGCAGCCGGCGGCGCCGTCGGCGACGCCGCGCGCGCCGCGGCGGCGTGGCCGGCCGCGCTGCTGCTGCGGGCCGCCGGCAAGGTGTTGCCGCGCGCGCCCATTGGTGTCGATGACATCACTCTTGATCTGGAGGGCCCGGGGCTGCGGCTGCACCTGCAGCAGGCGGCGGCGGCGTTTGAGGCGCTCCCAGACCACCAGCTGCAGCTGACCGTGCTGGCGCAGCGGTTTGCGCTGCGGCCGCGTGTTGCAGGCGGCGCAGGCGACGGCGACGGCGCGGGGCTCGGGGTCGCGTGCCCCGCGGTGAAGCTCATTTGCGCAGTCGCGGCCAGCAGGTGGGCAGTCAGGGGCGACGATGAGCAGCGCGCCTGCATATGATTGCATGCAGCGATTTAGGGCCTGCTCAGCCCGCATAGCGCCCGCATGCGCGTCACATGGCGGCGGCATGCACCCACGACGGCCGTTTCCGGGCTACAGCAGCCCCATGCGTGCGCGGACTCGCCCGCTCGCTGCGCCTCGGTTCGAATGCGTGCAGGGGCCCGCTCCCGGTGGCGCTCAGCCTGGTGGATGTGCGGGTGGGGGAGATCTCTGTGCGTGATGCCAGCCAGCTGCTGCTCGCCATCGCTCATGGCGGCGGCGGCGGCGGCGGCGGTGGCCCGTCTGCGGGCATTGGCGGCGGCGGCGGCACTGCAGGTCCTCCGGGGGCGCCGCCGGCCGCGGCAGCAAAGCCCAAGCGGCGCAAGGCGCCGCTAGACGTGCCGCGGCTGCTGCAGCTGCTGCCTGCCAAGGCGAAGCTGTCGCTCGCGGGGGTGCGGTTCGACGCGCGCAGCGCAAAGCGGCCCTTGAGCGGCGGCGCGGGAGACGCGCTGCCCGCGCTGACTGGCCACGTCGGGCCGCTGCAGGTGGCGCTGAGCAGCGCGACCGCGGGGCCCGCGGCTCCGCAGGCCGCCGGCGAGGCGGCGGCGGGGCCGGCTGCGGCCTCGAAGGCCGCGGCTTTGGTGGTGTCGCTTGGACAGGTGCAGCTGCGCGTGGACGGTGGCGGCGGCGGCGACGACGATGGCGGGGCGGATGCTGGTGGCGCAGGCTCCAAAGATTCAGCAGCGGCAGCGGCGGCGGCGTTAGCGTTTTCCCTGGAAAAGCTTAGTGCAAACCTGGATGTGTTCAGGGAGCCGCCACCGGCCGGCGGGCGGCGGCAGCTGCTGCGTGTGCAGCTGCAGGCCAGCGCGGCGGCGGAGCTGCACGCGCCCAGGGTGCTGCTGCGGGAGGCCGCGCTGCCGCGGCTGGCGGGGGCGCTGCAGGGGCTCGCCGCCCACCTGAAAGGCGCAAAGGCAGCGAGGGCGCGCGCTCGGGCGAGGGCGATCCACGGGGCGGGGCAGCAAGGGCGGGCAGTCGCGCAGCAGGGTCAGGGGCAACAGCAGCAGCAGCAGCAGCAGGCGGGCGTGCCGCCGGTTGTGTCGATGCCGTCGCGAGGGCCGACGCCCGACAGCAGCGGCGTGCTGCCTAGCCCCGCATCGTCGGTCATGTCAGCCTCGGGGGCAGCCGGCGACGACTCGTGCAACACCCAAGGGGCGCCCGCCCCAGGGGGCGTGCTGGGCCGCCGCACCACTAGCCGACGCGCGGGCGAGGGTGCGGAGGAGGAGGCGGCGGGCAGCACGTTTGAGCTGCGGTGGCAGGCCAAGGCTGTGAATCAGGGCGGCATCCACTTAGAGGTGGTGGATGCATCCGGGGAGGTCTGCCATTGGGCGGCCGTCCGCGTCCTGGAGGGCTCCGCCTCCGGCGCCGCCGGCGGCGCGGCCGCGCAGCCGCCGGCGCTGACGGCGAGCGCGCAGCTGCAGGGGCTCGCGGTGCGGTGCAGGGCGGCGGCGAGGGGGGACGGCTTGGGGGCGGCCACGGCGGGCGCGGGGG